GGCGGTGCAGTACCTGTTGCACGACCCGCCCGACCTCGACCCAGCGTACCTGATAAACACCCTACCCCTCGCGACGTGGCTCCAGGCTCTCCACGATGATTGGGCTCCTCAGGGCGTTATGCCAGCTATTTTCGAGGCTGGAGTGTCCAAGATCAGTCTGGGATGGGCTACTGTGTGTGGCCCTGGGGGAGCCGTGGTTCAGACTTTGCGTCGTCTTGGGTGGCAAATCAGGTCTTTCAAGCTTTGGGTGGATCCTCAAGGGCTCGTGGTGGACCTCGAGAAGGTTAGCATCAAGACCCTCAAAGCACTTATCCACAGGGGCCTCAAAAGGCCCCAGGAGCTGCAGGCGGCCAGACACATGGGCTGGAATGGGACCCCCTTCTTGGACCCGATCAAGGCAGAGCTGCAAGTTCTTCGGGCCAAAGGTCATCCTGTCTCTGCAGATCTCGTTTCAATACACATGTCAGGTGGGCTGTGGACGCAGTCCAAGCTCTACGAAGAGCGTTATTCCTTGTCGTCGGCCTGCAAGTGGTGCGGGCACCCGTCAGGCTCGATATCTCACAGACTTTACGGATGCGACGGCTTAGAGGCATGGCGTCGAGATCAAGGTTATGATGATGTCGTGTCGGTCGGTCGGGAGTTCCCAGACAACTGCCTAGTTGACTTCGGGGTCACGGACAGTATGAGAGACGCCATGCCTCCGCCCTTGCAAGAGCACGAATGCCCTCAGCGCGGTCTCCTAGGATGCGGCTACCTCAGCGAAGAGATCTTTATAGACGGCTCGGGGGTCAACCCAGATGTGGAGTGGATGACGAGGGCAGGATGGGCGGTCGTATCTCTGCAGCACGGCCTACGGGCCAGTGCCAGGGCTTGTGCAGAGCGCGGGCATGGCAGAGCACCACGCGTTCTACATGATATTATGTCCCATGGGACCCAGGGCGACCATTTTCACGGACCACAAGAACCTCCTGATAGGTCTCCAGAAGGGCCCCGAGAAGATGTGTAGAGTTTCAGAACCGCACTGGGAAGTCTGGAGTCTAATATTCTGGAAATTGAACGACGTGGGGGAGGAGAATGTGAATCTGCAGTGGATGCCGTCTCACAAAAGCAGAGCGTGGCTCAGGAATCACAACTTTTCGGACTCCTGGTACTCTGGGAACTGGCAGGCCGACAAGTATTCGAGGCGGGGGGCTCTAGAGCATCCAGCAGCCCCCCTTTTGGATCAAAGGATCCAGGCGGCCAAGGTTTTCGGTAGGCAATTCACGAGGCTCCTGGCAGACTCTTTGAGGCGCCTGATTACAATAGGATTTCCGGATGTGGACAAGGCCCCGAGGGCCACAACGGTCCCCAGGCCGAACCAGATTTTAGTTGATGAACCCGTGTGCGTGCTAAAACTCACCACGGGGGATCGAGGCCACCTGCTGCGCAACGCTGATGGCAGGTGGGGTTGCAGAGTTTGCGGGGTGAACGCTGCTCGACGGAGTGCGGTCATTCAGAATGCATGTCCTGGCAAGCCGAGGGTGCTTGCGCGGACGCACGAGTCGCACCGCATGTGGGTGCTAGGCTCGGACCTGTATTTCTGCATGCAGTGCGGTTGCCACGCGTGGAGGCAGGTCAAGGACCTGGCCGCGCGCTGCCATCGTGTTGCAGGGACTGGGAAGATAGGGGCCTTGAAATACATGCGCCAAGGCATTGACCCCACATCCAAGGTGTTGGCGGGGCGCCCCTTCCCAGTCCACTAATTATCCCCCCACGGGCCAGTCTTTCATTGAGGGATTGTGTCCGCAGAGGCTCCAGAGGCTCCAGAGGAGGAGGAGGAGGAGGAGGAGGAGGAGGAGGAGGAGGAGGAGGAGGAGGGCGCGGCCGAAAGAGGGGGCGGGAGAAGCGGGCCGCTCAGTGGAACCCGCACCCCCCCAACAGGAAATCCGGGTCCTCGGGTTAGGTTGGGGTGGTCTGGTAGGTAGGCACGAGGGGGGCGGGGTCCAGGGAGGCTGCCATGAAATTCCGTCCGACTTCGTGTTTATTGCTCCTCCGACGTCAGCTCTGCAACTGGCGTTCCAACCGCGAGCTCCCGAAGAAGACGGGCGGTCTCCACAGGCCGGATGGGTAGAGTATGGGACAAGGTTGGCGAAGTCTGTAGGTTAGGGTGTGTCGGAGGAGAGTTTTCAGTACCATACCGACAGGCGAGTCACAGGCCTGCGTTGCCGCTGAGACTTGTTCCTTGCCTTGAAGACTCACTTTTTCTCCCCGTCCATCTCGAGCCAAAAGGGCGATACCGAAAGTTATCGTTCGTGCCATCGACCCTCCTGTTTGAGCAGATGCTACATCAGCGCAGCCAGTGGCCGTCTTACGGCTTTCCTGGTACCTCTGACGTCGTCGGAAGCTGTCTTGGGAGCCTCTCTGGGCCGTCTTGGGACCATTTTGGGGCGCTTCAGGGTTCTTCTTGAAGGCCATCGTGGGCGTCTTGGAGGCCTCTTGGGCCGTCTTGGTGCCTTTCTTGGGACCTTCTTGGGGAAGGCCCTCTTCCGCCGAAGGCCTTTTAACGGCCCGTTATCGCCGCGACCCGTTTCCGGCCGGCCCGTTTCCGCCCGATCCGCTTTCGCCGTCGCCAAGTCTCCACCGTGGATACTGGCGGGATCGCATGGATCGCGTCGGTAGAGCTCCTTGTGGGGCCACGAAATGTTTGAGGGGTGTGCCGACATGGACAACTCAACTACGCCAGACACCATTCCTTGAACTTCAACGCCACGAATCACCGTTACTGTTGCGTTATATCGATCTTGAACCGTGTGAGAAACCCAATTCTGGGACTTCAACACCTGGCATCAACGTAACTGTTGCGCCCTGGCAGCACGACACAGTGCCAAAAGACCAGTCTTGGAATGTTGACCATGAGAATCCTTGAAACTGATACAAACTCTAAAAACGAATGTTGTGCGCGGCGAGAAAGGCGAGAGCCACACTTTTGAAAGCGGCCCACCCTCCACCCGTGAAGCCGTTGTATTTCTAAAACGAATGTGAGCGGCGCTAAGGCAAGAGCCACATTTTGAAAACGACCCACCCTCCATCCGTGAAGCTCTTGCGAACGTTTAAGACGAATGTGCACGGCGCTAAGGCGAGAGCCACGTTTCGAAAACGACCCGCCCTCCATCCGTGAAACGTCCGGCCCGCCTTTTGGACCAGCCTCGGGGTGCGACAGAGAGGAGTCATTTGTAAGGAAAGAAGTTGGCGGAGGAAGAAGAGGAGACCTCTTGAGACCTTCTTTGGGCCTCCTGGGGGCTTCCTGGAAGCTTCATGGGGGCCTCTGATGGGCCTCTTGGGGGCCTCTAAGGGGCCGCTTGGCCTTCGGAGGCCGCCTTGGAGCCCTATCTGGGCAGCCGTGGGTCCATCGTTGGCCCCTGTAGGCCCGTCTTGGAGGTCTATGGGGCCGTCTTGGGACCGTCTTGCGGGTCTCTTGGGCCGTCTTGGAACCCTCTTGGGACGCCTTCGGGCGTCATGGGGGCTTCTTGAGGTGGGGCGGTCTTGGGGGCCTCCCAGGCCGTCTTGGAGCGTCTGAAGCCCTAAAGGTGAGAACGCTAAAATCACTGAAACACAGGAGGAACATGCATGATTTTGGCTGGAGGTCCTCTTGTAGCCCTCTTGGGGGGCTCTTGGGCCGTCTTGGGGCGGCGGATCGAAGACGCCTAATTACGGCGAGTCGCCGCCGCCCCCTGCCGTTTGGAAGCGCCTATGTGGCCGAACGTTGCGGCCAGAGCTCGACCAAGTTATCGGACTATGTGTTCCCCCAGCCGTCGTGGAAATCCTTCGGGGAACACGAGAGGGAGACAGAAGAACAGGAGGAGAGGGAGGGACATGGAGGAGGAGCTGGAGGAGGGGGGCTTTCTTGGGCCTTTTTCGGGGCCTTTGGCGGTTCCTTGGGAGGATCTTTGGCCGTCTGAGGGTGTTCTTGACACCAATACCGTGCCTCAAGAACCTTTGCCAACATCATTCAGCACCAGCGCAACAGCGACAATGCATAGTAAGAGCAAACACCCTGGGCATGCGACAACACCATGCACCAGCACGGTACACCAGTACCATACAAACACATCATCAGTATCGGGCATCCAGGCCATACATCAAGATCATGCACGAAACAATATTGCACACACGGACATGCATTTTATAAGAGAAGCCGTCAATCCACACACGCACAGCACGCACTCCAATACCACATACCGAGACCGACATACCGTGAACGCAACAGTACAGACGTTCGAAGCAAAATGATTTCAAACCGAGGGGATCTGGGTTATTACTTCGAGACATGCTAGACCTCCTCCACTTCAATATCATCATCCTTAGCGGGACGCGCGTGTTTGTTTGGTTTCGCCGCCCTCTCGGTGCTTTGCTTCACCCTGTAACGTCTGACCTCCCGCTGCATTCTTATCAAGCAGTATTGTCCTTCTGTTCGTCGTCGTCCTAGTGCAGCTGGTCATTATCCTCCTCCTGCTGCCTCTCCTCCCCCGCCACCCCTCCTTCATTTCCTGGACCCATACCTGTCTTCCTGCTTCTCTCCCCCTTCCCGTTCCTCACCTCCCGTCTTCCCTTTCTCCTTCCTCGTGTTGCTCCCCCTTCCCTCCTCCTCCCTCCATTCCTCCTCCATCCCTCCTCCTCCTTCTCCTCCTGAGTCTCCGCCTTCGTCCTGCTCAGTCCCTCCTTCTCTTGGGCATCCCCCTCCAGCCATGACACATTGTTTCGCCTTGACTGCTGGTTCTGCTTTGCCCTGCGCTCCCGCATAAATGCATGCGCGTGGCTAGACTGGTGGATCTCCGCCTCCTTCTCATCATCATTCGTCATTGTCGTCCTCTTCTTCCGCCCTTTCCCCACCTCGTCCGGCCTCCGCGCCCTCCACCCCCTCCACCCTTCCCTCCTCATTCGTTCCTCTCCCCTCGTTCTCCCTTCCCTTCCGCCTCACGCCCTTCCTTGCTTCACCTCGTCCCCCCCCCCCCCCCCGCCAGGAGACCATCCCGCTCCTCATATCCGACGCCACCCTGAAGGCCCCCGAGGAGCTGAAAGCGCCCCGCCGGCACGAGAGAGACCACGAGGAGCTGAACCACGAGGCGATCGCGCTCTCTTGTGAGTTGCTGTTGTTGTCGCTCCGCTCTGGGATGGAGAAGAGGATGGAGAGGCTGGTATTCATTACGTCTCGATCACGCTTGTCTCTTTAAGTGGCACGCGACACGGCGGGTGAGCATCGGCCTCGTGGGTGGGCCAGATCTATGGGGAGATGTTGTGCGGAGAGCCAGCGCAGAGGGCAGATCTACGGAGGAGCGCGGACAGCACAAATGACAGCACGGAGGGTCCGGGTCCTGATGCAGTGCGCGCGCCTTCGCGCATCTCGAAAGGTCACTGTGCAATAATGCATCGCAAATATATACAAAATGCCCAGCGCCTGCACACACCCAAGTCATACAACGCGTATTAATTCTGCAATGGTTTCAATTAAAAAAAAAAAACATTTAGGACATTCATCATACAATTTACAGGTTGTCTGCCCTCGCGCGCTTGCTGAAACCCTAGGAAGGACATATGATTCCTCTCGCTTCGCGGGGTGCACGTCCGGAGCACGTACAATCACGTCGTCACAGGGCCTCTTGGGAGCCTCTTGGGGGCCTCCTGGAGGCCTCCTGGGAGTTTCTTTTGGCCTCTCGGGGACTTTTCGGGGGCCTTTCCCCCATCCCTCCTTTTCGCACACCCTCCCCATTTTCCCTTCCATCGCCGGCTCCAATCATGCGCGCCGCCGTGACCAACTTCCACCTGGCTGGCGCTGCGCCGCAGTTCGCCCAGGGGGGGGGGAATAACATTACACTCCAGTCGCTGTGTGGCCTTTGGAGGGCCTTTTGGGTTTGTTTTTTGGAGGCTTCTGGGAGGCTTCTTGGAGGCTTGTTGGGGGTCTCTTGGGGCCTCGTGGGGGCGTCTTCGGCCGTCTCGGGGCGCTTTTGCGCAATTTCGCCCCCTCGCGGCCGCATTGGAGCCCTCTTGGGGTCCTCTTGGGCCGACTTCGCGGCCTCTTGGACCGTTTTGGTGGCCTCTTTGGGCCGTTTTGGGGCCCTCCTGGGCCGTCTTGGGGCCCTCTTGGGTGTTTTTTGGGATGTTCTGGGGCGATTATGGAAGCTGCTTGGGCCGTCATTGATTTTTGAGAGTCGATAAAGGCGAGAACGCTGAGATATTGCAAGAACCATCGGGAAAATAATGATTTCGGCTTCTGGAGGCGCAGTTGTAGGCGCTCTTGGGGCCCTCTTGGGCCGTCCTTGGAGCTTTTGGGGCCGTCTTGGGGCCGTCTTGGGGGCCTCATGGGTCCCCGTTGGGAATATCTTGGGTCGTCTTGGGCCGTCTTGGGGCCGTCTTGGGCCGTCTTGGGGCCATCTTGGGCCATCTTGAGGCCCTCGAGGAGCCCCCAGAGGCCCAAGAGGCCGAATGTGTTGATTTTCATTGGTTTTTGTATGTTTTTAGGGCCCCAGAAGGGGGGCGTCACTTTGGTCCGGCGGTGTGGCGCAGCTCCCAGGGGGGGTTAGGGGGGAGACATAATAACGTAACACAATACAACATGTGGCAAGTATGCAATCATTGGATAAATAGGATACGTTGCAGTAAGGCGTTCGCCGAAAAACGCTGCCGCTCTTCACGTCCCCTCCGGACGTGGATTCCTCTCGCTTCGCGGGGTGCACGTCCGGAGCACGTACAGTCGCGTCGTCGCGGGGCCTCTTGGGAGCCTTTTGGGGGCCTCCTGGAGGCCCCCTGGGAGTTTCTTTTGGCCTTTTGGGGGTTTCTTTGGGGGCGTTCCCCCCTCCTTCCTTTTCATGCACCCCCCCCATCTTCCCTTCCATCGCCGGCTCCAATCATGGGCGCCGCAGTGACCAACTTCCACGCGGCTGGCGGTGCGCCGCAGTTCGCCCAAAGGGGGGGGGAAATTACATTACACACCAGTCGCTGTGTGGCCTTTGGGGGGCATGTTGGAGGCCTTTTGGAGGCTTCTGGGGGACTTCTTGGAGGCTTGTTGGGGGCCTCTTGGGGCCTCTTGGGGGCGTCTTGGGCCGTCTTGGGGCGCTTTTGCGCCGTTTCGCCCCCTCGGGGGCTGTCTTGGGGGCCTCTCGCGGCCGCATTGGAGCCCTCTTGTGGTCCTCTTGGGCCGTCTTCGCTGCCTCTTGGACCGTCTTGGGGGCCTCTTTGGGTTGTTTTGGGGCCCTCTTGGGCCGTCTTGGGGCCCTCTTGGGGATTTGTTGGGCTGTTCTGGGGCGATTCTGGAAGCTGCTTGGGCCGTCATGGATTTTTGAAAGCCGAAAAAGACGAGAACGCTAAAATGTTGCAAGAACCATCGGACAATCAATGATTTCGGCCTCTGGAGGCGCAGTTATGGGCGCTCTTGGGCCCTGTTGGGCCGTCCTTGGAGCTTTTGGGGCCCTCTTGGGGCCGTCTTGGGGGCCTCATGGGCCCCCGTTGGGAATATCTTGGGCCGTCTTGGGCCGTCTTAGGGCCATTTTGGGCCATCTTGAGGCCCTCTTGGAACCCCAAGAGGCCCAAGAGGCTGATTTGTTTTTTTTTCCATAAGTTCTTGTAGGTTTTTAGGGTCCCAGAAGGGGGGGGCCATTTTGGTCCGGCGGTGCGGCGCAGCTCCCAGGGGGGGGGTTAGGGGGGAGACGTAATAATGTAACACAATACGATCTGTTGCAATTCTGGAATCTTTGGATACATTGGATACGTTGCGTTAAGGCGTTCGCCGAAAAACGCTGCCGCTCAGCACGTCACCTCCGGACGTGGATTCCCCAACTGCGACGTCTGCGAGGTAGCCCCGCGGCCGCGAAGCACGAAGTACCTGGCGGCGAACAGGCCGTCGTGGACGTGCCCGGCGTGCCCGCGGGTCGGTCAGTGCGTGGTCTGTAGCGCCCCGTCACCAGACGCGGCCAAATCTGGTCGGCGTTTTCTGAACTGGGAAGGGCCGAGGTACACGTGCGACGCGTGCTTCTGGCCGCCATGCAGCGCGTGCAGGAAAACGCCGCGGCCGCACGACCGCTGGTGGACAGTTCGCGCTGCCCCGGACTGGAAGTGCGCAGATTGCGCGAAGACGCGCGAGCGAGGGAAGAGGTGCGCGTAGTCTAAAGATATCGCTCCACCTGCCACCTGCCGCTATCATCAGGGACGTCGTCGTCATCGTGTCTAATTGCGGGAAGAGGCCCGCCTGCGCCCCCGTCGCATGTGTCATCCTCTCGGTGGCAATTTTGGAGGCAGTTTGGGCCGCCATGCCTCCCTCTTGGGGACTTCTTGAGGCTCCTTGGGGGCCTATTTGGGGCATCTTGGGGCCTCTTGGGGGCGTCCTGGCCCGTCGTGGGGCGCTCTTCCGCCGTTTCGCCCTTCGGAGACCGTCTTGGGGGCCTCCCACGGCCGCCTTGGGGCATTCTTGGGATCTTTTTTGGCCGTCCTAGGGGCCTCTTGGACCGTCTTGGGGGTTTCTTTGGGCCGTATTGGGGCCCTCTCGGGCCGTCTTGGGGCCCTTTGGAAGGCTTCTTGGAGCTTCTTGGGGTGTTTTTGGAGGGTGTTTGGGCCGTCATTGGCTTGTCAGCGTCGAGAAAGGCGAGAACGCGAAAATATTCCCAAAACAATAGGAAAATCTATGATTTTGGCTTCTGGAGGCGCTCTTGGGGGGTCCTTTTTGCACCCTTTTGCGGCGTCTTGTGAGCTTTTGGGCTCTCTTGGGGCCATCTTGGGTCGTCTTGAGGCCGTTTTGAGATTCTCTTCGGCCGCCTTGAAGCCATCTTGAGCCGTCTTGACGCCCCTTGTGGGCTCCGAGGAGGGCCCAGAGGCCGAAATCAATGATTTCCATAGGTTTTTGTAGGTTGTTGAATTAGTGCACGAAAGGGGTCGGCGACTCGGCGGCGGCCCTGGGGGGGGATTAAGGGGGGAGACATAATAATGTAACACAATACAATATGTTGCAATTATGCAATCATTGGAAACATTGGATACGTTGCATTTGGGCTTCCGCTCCGCTGCGCGACCTGCCTCCGGCAACACGTCACTTCCGGACGTGGATTCTTAGGCTTACGCCACACCGCCGACCCCTTGTTTATGCCAATCTGGGGGTAGTAGAAGCTGCGAAGGGGTGAAAAGCGAGTTTTGGAGCCACTTGGGGGCCGGTTCGGAGCCTCTGGGGTGCTTCTTGGGGGTTCCTTGGGGCGTCTGGGCGGCCTCGTGAGGGCCTCCGGGGGCCTCTTGGGGCACTCTTGGGGCCCCCTGGGGCTCCTGGGGGCAGAAAGCTAGAGTTTCAACATGTTTGGTCGCCCTCTTGGGCCCCTCTTGGTGCCGTCTTGGAGCCCTCTTGGGCCGTCTTGGGGACCTCTTGGGCCGTGTTGGGGCCGTCTTGGGCCGTCTGGAGGCCGTCTTGGGGGCCTCTTGGGCCATCTTGGGGCTGTCTTTGGGGCCTCTTTGGCCGTCTTGGAGCGTCGGGAAGCCGAAAAGGCGGAAAAGCAAAAAACATCGAAAAACACTATGGAAAATCAACAATTTTAGACTCTTGGGGTCCTCTTGGGAGGCTTGTTTGGGACCTCGGGGGCCGTCTTGGAGACCTCTTGGCCCGTCTTGGGGCCATCTTGGGCGTCTTGGAGCGGTCGTTTGGCGTCTCGGGGCCTTCGTGGGCCGTCTTGGAGGCCTCTTGGGGGCTTCTTGGCCCGTCTTGAGGCCCTCTTGGGCCCGGAAAAGCCCCGTGAACCGCTCGTCCCGGCCGTGCTGCGCTCGTCCCGGCCGTGCTGCGCTCGTCCCGGCCGTGCTGCGCTCGTCCCGGACCCCCCCCCCCCCTCCACATCGACCGGACCGGGCTCCCGGGGGAGGGGTTTGGGGAGGGGGAAGCATCTCACACGCCGATGATCCCCAAGGGGTCGGCGGATTATATCTGGTTTTAGCAATCTCGTCCAGCACCCACATTACCATGTCACCACGGCGCATTAGCGTTGACCTAGCAGGCGCCCAGGGCACGAATCCGTTTCAACTAAAACCATGCTGGCCACGCGCGTGCGCCGCCGTGAACATGAAGTTTGCCCATCTTCTTGAATTTCTGCAGGCGCGCACT